TGCTTGGGGACGTAGCACAAGACTTTTATTCAGCCTTGCTTACAAAGAATTATATGTCATATCTATTTATTACAAAATGGCTACAAAAAGGCATTATGTACAGTGGCCGAAACAAGGCACCGAACTCATATTAACATAGCCTCCGTGCATTTGAATGCTTCGCACGGCTTATATATGGTTTAAGTATGGTTTCCTTATACAGTCACTAACATTCAAAAGCTAGAAAACGTACAGAGGAAGGCAGCAAGATTCATCTGCAACAAATATAAGCGCACTGATTCTCCTACAAATATGTTAGCTAGCTCTGGCCTCCAAACACTTGCGATTCGAGCGAAACAAGCGCGCCTTAAATTTCTTTTTCAGCTACTTCACAACCATTATAAAATTGACCCATCATTGTACATCCGTCCGTCAGACTCCCGCGTTATTAGGCACAAACATTCATACACACTGAAAGAGTACTCTTACCGCAATGACACGTTCAAACACTCCTTTTTTCCACTTGCCATAAGGGAATGGAACTGTTTGGATTCCTCCATAACTAGTGCGAAATCGGTATCCGACTTTGCACTAAAATTAGAAAATATGTTCTCTTAATGCGGCAATACTCGCATTACCAGAAGCATTGCGCCACCAGTGAAAGCGTATTAGTGGAGTGTACAAGTGTCAACTGGAGTGTTTGGAAGTTAGCTATTTGTTTGCCTGTGTACCACTGCACTTCATGCAAAATTTGTGTTCTTTTTGGTGATGGTTTCTTTGTCTTTGCAGATGTAAACAATTTGTATATTTTTCGCGCTTGTACTTTGTGATGACTGTCATTTCACTACATTTCTGTTAATGTACCACCTGCATGTACAATCTGTACGCCCACCTGCTATGGTCTCGGAATGAGACTGGCAGTATTGAAAATAAATAATATATCGACGCTCAAAAGGTAATAATTGTTTTGGGTATTTTACGTGCCAAAACAACAATAATATTTGGAGACACGCCACAGTGAATCAATTGTGACCGTCCTCCAGAATAATTATCACCATCTGGTTAATTTTGATCCACCAGTCTTGTTAATTTGCTGCAATATACTACGTTTGTTGTAATTGTGTATCACAACCCGTGTAGCACTTGCTTATGGTTCGTTAAATTGTACTTCTCCCTTTCGACAATATAAGAATGACGTTTACATATCTCGGTTGCGTAATTTAAAACAAAATGTTTTTTTCTTGAACTATGGAGATCTTCTGCGTCATTTCTCCGTTTAATTATGATACGTCGAGACGATTCCTCTCATAAATTATCAGATTCGGGATTACACACTATTTTGGATTAGGTAGTCAATATCCGGGTAACAAAAAAGTAGTAACGGGGCAAAAAAGGTAGTAATGGCTGCAGTTACTACCCCCTTTCACTCGAGTTACTCACTGTTTACTAACTTACGCAGTAAACAGATTGCAAAAAGTTAGTAACAGTTGCAGCTAGTAACTGTTTACTAACGTAGGTAGTAAACAGGTTGCAACATGTAGTAATGGTCCAAGAAAAGTAGTAAGCGCTGCAGTTACTACTTTTTTGCTTGCAGTTGCTACCTTTTCACTATTAACTTTTTTTGAAGAGTGCAGGGGTGATTAAGAAGCTCACACGAAGCTGTGCCTTGCGGTTTGACAGGCACATCATCTGTGATATCATCTTTGACAATGAGCATACGCGCTCGCCTCTAAAAAACGTACTTTTTTTTAATAAACCAGTTGCAAGTTCAGCGCCGTGTGTGTCTCTTCTTTTCTATATCGTCTGTGTTGAAGTGCTGTTCTAAATTTTTATCATGGAACCTTACCAACTCGCCCAATCTGCTTGTCTTCCTCTTTATTTCCTCACTCCATTTAGCTCGATGCCTTCTTCAACTGTGTAGCAAACAGTACTTGCCATACGCAGTGTAACACAAATCTCAACGTCGTTTGAAAACAAAAACGTTTGGAGTCTGTTTTCGTGATGCACACTATACCTATAATGCTGAGAATGCAAAGAAGTTTAATTGATCTACTTATTCGGTTTTCAACGCTACTACGGCCACGATTTGTTACACATAGAGAGGTGCCTACCGAGAGTGCGAGTACCGCAATTTGTGGGTTTATGCATGCTTAAACAGCCCCATTTTTTATTATTGTGCCATGGTGGTCTTGTTCGTCCATCTTTCTTCAATTTCTTGGTATTTCCTCCTCCCCCTCGAGCATGATTTACTCACGCCGCTATTGCTAGTACAGCATACAAAGGCGGGTTAATTAAAAAAGAAAGAAAGGGTGGTGTAGAGCTATATTAGGACGCAGAATTTTACGCGTGTGTTGGGCAAACAAACAACTGGTGTGTGCCATTCAATCGGGTAATGTCAAAACGTATATACAACTTTTCAAAGAAGGTGCGCACAACAATGAGACGTAGTCTTGAAGGTTAAGCTTGGAAATTAATGCAAGCAATCGCGGCTGTAACGTGACAAACGGCACAACCCCATCATTAAGCTTGAAAGATTCGCTTTATAGAGCTTCACTTAAGACGATGATGATGATGATTAAAGGCCTCCCCTTTGAATCGGGGTGACGGCATGCGCCATCTAGCCTACCTTAATAGTTCGAGTTTAAATTCTGTCCCTCAACTCGGATGTCTTTTTAATTTTGCCCTGCCGCTACTCTTGGCTGGGATGTTATTTTATCGACTTCTCTGCCTTTCCTCCACCAATACTCCAGCCACTGCTTAGTAATACCTACTGCTGACCAGTTAATGCTTCCATCAACCGCGAAGCCCAGCGCCTCAGGAAGTGTGACCTTCCCCCCATTTCTATCCGGCTGAATCTTTTGGCATTCCATGACTATGTGGTCGATTGTTTCTTTATTTATGCCACATCCAACACATGTCTCATCCTGTGACGAATATTTGCTCCTGTAAGTTAGAGTTCTCAAGCAGCCAGCCCGCGCCTCAAAGAGCAACGCACTACCTTTATTGTTGTCATAAAAGTTCTCTTTCCGGATCTCTTGTTTGCTTGCCTTGTAGATTCCCAGCGATCCCTTCTTTTCCATCCTCTCTTTCCACATGAGCGTCTCTGTTTCCCTCACTTGCTTTTTAACTGGCCCCCTTTGCTTATTTGCCGCGGTCAAGTTATATTTAGTCGCCAGCTTTCGCGTCCTCTTCCGCCACTGGGTGTCCACACTTTTCAGGTACAGGTATCTGTGCACTCTGGCTGCCCAGTTCTTCTCATCTAAATGTCTAAGTCGCTCCTCAAACCGTATTTTACTTTGTGCTTCCCTCGCCTCAAATGAAGCCCAACCCATATCGCCTTGTACAGCCTCGTTTGTAGTCTTACTGTGAGCTCCCAGAGCTAACCTGCCGACTGCCTTTTGGTTAACCTCCAGTCCCGACAGGATATCTGACTTTAAGCATAATACGGCGTTAGAGAACGTGAGCGCCGGCACCATTACTCCTTTCCAGATGCCTCGTACCTTATGCGAAATTGCTGCCATCTGTCGGCCATTGTGTGCATGGGCGCCACGTTAGAGGCTCAGCACCGTGCTTTGCACACAGTCTGGCATGCAGGTCCACGTGTGTTTACGTAGACGTATACGTAAGGCGTATCGACGTGAGACGTTTGTCGGCTGATAATCGCAATGCTGACGTATTGCTGCGTCACTTGCAGCACAAAAATGTGAACTCGCAATGGTGAACGAAAGAGGGGATGAAATCAAGGGTTCGTTCTTCGTTTATACACAACCTGGTAAAGCCCATAAACTATAAAGCCACCGAAGTTATACAGGATACATTATTTGTTGTTTTATACCGTATAATTATGACATTAACAGAACATATTTAAAGAGGGAGGATGGCGGGGGGGGGGGGGGGGGTTCTGTTTTTGTTGACAGCAAGTCGCTTTCGTTTTCGTCCACTTTAAATCCTTTCCAATTATGTCATAAATAATAAAATGTCCCCTATGTAATACTTGGCTTCAATGTCAGTTGGCCTCATTATAGGTCGTTTCTCACCGCCAATCCTTCTGTCTGTGCGTTTCTTCACAAAATTAACACGAAGGTGACTCAGTCGTTTCCTCGTTCATGGTTCGCTGTGCCATGCTCAATGCGATCGAGTAGCGCGGGGCAAATTACGTTGCTTGTCTTGCGTTAGGAAAAACATTGATTGACGTGTGGCGTTTAACGTCCCAAAACCACCATACGATTATGAGAGACGCCGTAGTCAAGGGCTCTTGAAATTTCGATCACCCGAGATTTTTTAACGTGTATCCAAATCTGAGCACTCGGGCCAACAGATTTTTCGCCTCCATCGAAAATGCAAGCAGCCACCGCAGCCGGAATTCGATACCGCAACCTGCGGGTCAGCAGCGGAGTACTTTAGCCACTAGGCCACCGCGGCGGGGCACGTTATAGGAAAAAGATGGTATACTCCAAGCCACAAAAAAGTGAAATGGTAGTAAGAGTTGCATTTTGTCCCCGCAATGAATAATTTGTCCCCGCGGAGGGATTAACTATACAAGTAAAGGGTGGTGTGTGAAAACTCAGGGAGGAACTGTAGCGCACGGAGCAACGTTTAACCATGGAACTTTCCGACGCAGGGGCAACCTCGAAGGAATGGTCAGATAGTCCGCTGAAGAAATGAACTCTCAAGAGTTTATTTCAGTGTAAACGGTCATGAAAACTACAGCAACAGCAGGAAGAGTAAATCAATATCGTGCATACAGCACAAAAATAGGCAAATATGTAAGGCCTCTTCACCCCCTCAGAAAAAAAAAAGTGCTCGCGCTGTATCAATGCGCGGCGTGGAGTTCTTGTCGTATGCGCAGCACAGTCTCCGGTGTAGCGTTGTGTTTTTGGACACGTTCTCGTCTCGTGAATAGCGCTCCTTCTTTAATTCCACTCATTAAAGGAGGAGTCACCCTAAGCAGTGGATGTGCTAGGCATGTATGGTACCAAGAGGAAAGTGCATACGGAGCAGCCCTTTCTTCTCGCTCACAGGAGGGACTCGGACATCGTGACGCCGTACGAGAAGTTCGTGCTTTTCGACCCGCTGGTGAAGCGCATTAAAAGAAACTACGACTACGCACAGAACAAGACGAAAATGGTGGCCTGGTTCGTCTCCAACTGCGGCGCAGCAAACAGGCGGCTCGAGTACGCGCGCGAGTTGCAGAAGCACATACAGGTAAGCGGTTCCGTTGGTCTCGTTCGCTTCGAAACTTGCGGACAGAGAATGATCACCATACATAGCCATGCGCGCAGAGAACGCAGGGGAAGTGCCCTTCCCCAATCCTCTATAGGTTGGCGCCAAGTTTATCTCGAACCTTTAGTCAGTCGGACCTGATCAGATACGTCCCAATACCACGATGCGATTATGAGAGGGGCTCCGGTGATTTTGACCACCTGCCTGGGGTTCGGGCACCTGCACATGTAAGCGCACTGGCCCCTAGCATTTTCCGTTTGTCGAAATGCAGCTGCTTAGACCGGTATTCAGTCCCGATACCTCCGGGTCAGCAGTCGAGTGCAATAACCACTGGACCACTTACTGCGTGATTTCATAGTGCGTTTAGGAGCCCAGATGAGTTGTCCAGAGCTTCCTGCGACAACGCACGTCATAGTCGTGTCATAGTTTTGGCAATTATAAAATTCTATACATGCGCTATGTGAAAAATTGCAAACAATATGAGGATCCATAAGAACTGAAGTACAATCGAGCAAACATCACATCGCACGCGTCACTTAACATTGCTTAGAGTGCACGTGTTCTCACGCTTGTTCATATTTTACATCGGCAAGTATACCGACGTGTCTATAGATTAGTAAAAATCGTTGTCAAGCCGCACTAAAAACACGGACAGAGAATGACGTGACACACACAGTCACTAACTTGCAACAATGTTTATTCAGGAAATGCATGACCACATGCATATATAGGCAACATCGCTTTACAACCATCATGGCTACACGCACTTTGCAAGTTCACCTATCCTTTCATATAGATGGGTTAACTCTTTACAGCAAAAGGCAATCAACGATTTAGGAATACTTGCACTGACATCTGAATTACTGCAATGCCTGCAATGGGCATCGAATAACCCACCCCTGTTTTTTTGACGTTGTAGTGGAGCTCCTTTAAACATTCATTTACGCACCGTCCACTCTGACCCACATAATGCCACATGGCAACGGAAGCTTGTGCGCAACTGCGTCATTGCACTGTATATATAAACCTACTTTTATGCTCCGTTTTACGTTCCTGCTTCTCCGATGAGGTATGTCTGGTTAGTCTGCACAAACTGCAATATTGTGAAAGCAGAAAACACTACTTTGACGTTCGCACGTTGTATACCTTCTTTAGTCGGCATGATAACCAGTGTATATACGCTATCACATCGACTTGTGTCGTTTCAACTGGCAGTAGTCTTTTCAGACGAGTTACGAGTTAATTACCACTAACTTGAGAAGGGCCTCCGCTACGGGAACACAAAATGTGTGCCCGGCTATGCAAATAATGTTTATCGCATCGGTGTTTCTTGCGTGCATGCACAATTCGCTGCGCTTGTGACCAATATTGTAACGGCTACAACTCATTTTTCACTCCGGCCGAATGCCTGCCCCGTGTAGGTGGACATATACGGCGCTTGCGGCACCCTCAAATGTCCACGCAGTGAAAGTGAGAGATGCTACGAGATGCTGGACAGCGATTACTACTTCTACCTGTCCTTCGAGAATGCCAACTGCAAGGACTACATTACCGAAAAATTCTACAATGCCCTCAGGTATACGCTCTCCAACGAGCCCTTTTCTTTTTCATTCATTGTTTTTTTTTAAAGTAGAGACAAACACCATGAACTTGATCCGTACAGTCGCTGTGCGTGCTTAAAAGTCTTTGAAAAAAAAACACTTTTGAAAATCAATGACGTGCTCGGTGGGCTCTTATTTTTGACATTTATTAACGATCTGCCGAGTTCGATAATCGGAAGTGTGTTTCCTCTACGCCGACAATATGATGATCGTAGCTTTTGCCTCGAACCCAACTAATCTTTTAGATAAATCACAATGTAAAGAAGCTTGAGCAGGGTGTATTAAGAATAATATCAGTATAAACACTGTAAAGTTTCGGTTCATAGTTCTTCATTCGCCTCTCAAACTACTTACATCCGGCTTACACATAAGGATAAGCAATGTAGAAATTAAACCAATAAGTTCTCTGAAGTCATTGTAGATTCTAATATAAAATGTAACACCCACCTAAATTCGGTGGTAAAAGGGATCTGCTTTGGCGTTAGGGCATTAATTGAAGCGCGTTAAACACCATTAATAGACTTCTCTCACTTCATCCATACACATATCAAATTTTGTATTTGTGTTACTACTTGAAAAAATGCTTATTACACTCACATACATCACTTAGTTGGCATCTAGAGACACGCGCGATTATAAAATTTGCATCCCCTTGTTCGTCATGTAAGCCTCTATTCCTAAAATCGAGTGTACTGCCACACCTCGTTTTTTATCCAGCGGCCGTGGTACTCCTTGTTGTTTTACACATACAACGCTATTCCGATGGTTTTCCTGCATAAGGTCATCAACCACCAAGTTTCTGCTGATGCCTTTCCAATTCATAGATTCATTGATAGGAATACGACTTGGCTAAGTAATTTTATATTAGCGAAAATAATTACGAATTATGGCAAGCAAAGTAATATTTAGCGCATTTTTTTATTTGGAACACACTAAAACCTGATCATTAAGCCGTTTTCGATCACCTTTGGAAACATTTCTGCTCTCCTTATTGTAATTAATGTACCGTTACATTTATGCATTGCCTTTGTTGATGTTTGGCCATGTGTAGTTTCTGAACATACTTATTTTTGTCGCATTAATTTGACTATCAATCGGTTTTTCTTTCGCTACTGATGTTTTATTTAATACGTATGTCAATTTATTCCTGTGCTTACTAATTTTCCTGTCCAATTCTGATAGGAGGCTCTCCCACAGTTATTATTTTTGGGCCTCTTTCTGGAAAGTTTGCACCCCTGATGATTGATTGATATGTGGGGTTTAACGCCCCAAAACCACCATATGTTTAAGACAGGCGCCTTAGCGGAGGGCTCCAGAAATTTCGACCACCTGGGGTTCTTTAACGTGCGCCAAAATCTGAGCACACGAGTCTACAACATTTCTGCCTCTATCGGAAATGCAGCCGCCGCAGCCGGGATTCGATCCCCCGACCTGTGGTTCAGCAGCCGAGTACATTACTAGACCACCGCGGCGGGGCAAGAAAGTTTGCACACTCACATATGTATTTTATTTCGCCATTCTTTTATTGCTATAGCAATGACGTGGACACTCTCGGCGTCTTTTTGCCGTCGCCATCACGTTTCGTATAAGGTCCAAATGAATGAGGTCCCCCACCGCATTGTACGTTCTACCCGCGGGCAGGGGCGTTGCTGCAGGGGGTGGCACGGCAGGCCCGTGCACCCACCCCTCCTTCGATTTTTCTTTTTTCATCTTGAACATATCGCAAAATGACCATTTGCCTGCCCGGCGGCCCACTTCAAATCAAGGAGGTGTCCCTCATCCCCTCCTGTGAAAAAAAAAAAAAAGTCTGCCTACGTCCCCGCAGCACAGGAAAGCGCACTTGAGGATTACGAAGGGGCTCTGCAACACATGACGACGTCTAATCTTCCGCAGGCACAACGTGGTCCCGGTGGTGATGGGCGCCTCCCGCGAGGAGTACCGGGCCGCGGCTCCGTACCACTCGTACATCCACGTGGACGACTTCGCGTCTCCCAAGGAGCTGGCCGAGTACCTTCGCCTGCTCAGCAGCAACCATTCGCTGTACAACCAGTACTTCGAGTGGAAAGGCACCGGCGAGTTCGTGAACACGTACTTCTGGTGCCGGCTGTGCGCCATGCTGCACGCGCCGCCTCGGCCGGAGGATAAGCAGCGCAGGACAAGCGTCCACGACTGGTGGCACCGGGGCGCGTGCAAGTCGATTGACGACGTAACCGCAGAGCGACGCGTGCAGAACGGTACTGAGCCTTTGTGAGGAAGACGCACTCGATCCGATCGAAGCGCTGTTTTGACGCACTTATGCGGACGAGTTTTAGTGCATGTATATATCTGCGTTTGTGTTGTCCTGTCCATGTGTTCTCGAGCGAATGAACTGCCGTTCTCCGATGTTTCGGAATTCGCAGCGCGTCTTTTTTATGTTGTCGTAGGGGATATACGTGACTTCTACCCTCACACGGTTATCCAGTCTCCACAGTGTAAGCTGCTTTGGGTTCACAGCCCGATTTTTGGTGGCCATGTCTTTAGCCGCCGCCACCACAGGTGTCTGTCGCAGCTATCTGAACCAGATTCCGTGGGAATCAACAATTCTGTTTTTGCTCAATGCATCGACATAATAGAGAAGGGGGGGCGCCAGGTGCTACAACGTACCTTCCCCCCCCCCCCCAGGAATGGGAGTTCTGCAGGATTCCCATTCTTGGCGTGTACATGGCGTGTCCATAGGCGTGTACGTGTACACGCTCACCGGCTCTCGGTTTTTTTTCCTTGTACGACTCCGAAATGACAGTTTGCGTAAGCTCCGCTTCAAATATGCGAAAGACATCTCCTCCACCATCGGTCATCATAGAGGTTGCTGCTGTAAAATAATCGCGTGTGGAGCGATGGAAGCAGTGCAAAAAAGAATGGAAACAATAAGTGGCCGCCCGCTATACAAAGCGCAGCAATTGCATCAAGCTAATGAAATGGCAGTCAGCATAAGTGCTTAGAATCTCAGTGATGTCGCAGCAGACCATATGAAAAAGAAAAGAGCGAGAGACCACTGTCAGGCTGGCTCGCTTATATCGACTAAAGAGCAGGTGTAGCTATAAGATTGCAAAAGCCATCGCAAAGCAGCGGAAGAGAGAATTGAACGAAATGAGATCACTCCCGAAATGAGAATGTTGTGATTTGTTACTGCTATAGCATTTCAGTGTCTACGCGATTGAAGACATAACGAACTTGTGCGAGATGTATGCGACCAAAAATAATGTGATTTCATTAATATATATGCAGCTGACGGGCAGACGCGGAAGTGAGCGTACGGGCCGGAAATTAAACGCCGCTAAACCCTGTTACAGTATCTCGATGGTTAAAAAAAATCAGGCCCAAGTGAAGGCTAGATTGATAGAAGTAATATGCATAAATTTGGGTTACGTACATATAAAATGGGATAAAATAAATTGAAAATCCCGGATGGACTTTATAAATTGGAAGTAAAATCCCCGTGTGTCCATTTGTTTTATATTTGATTCCACCATGAGACTTCACATACTCTGAATAATCCCATAAACCTCGTTTCTAAAAATACTGTAGAGCGCATTATCATGGTCTTTCCAATAAACAAACTGGAGGGAACGCTGGCGCTATTGTCTATAAGAGCTGCAACACACGGCGCTTCAGCCTGCAGTATGGGAATGATGGGTAGCAGGCAGATTTGTCTAATCTTCATTCCTTACGCTCCGTTTCGTTCCATATGGCTTGAATCCGCTTTGCCGCAAGACAAAATTCTGCGAAGGTTCGGTAGTTACACTTGAACACCTTGACCTTCTTAGACCCAGATATTTAAATCGGTTCACGGAATTCACAACGGCCCGTTCTTTTATTCGGGGCGAAAAAAAGAAACAACACAGCAATAAACAAAGCCAAAGGTGCATTCGAAGCAAGCGCGTAGCCAGAGGTTTTTTTGTTTTTTTCCCGGGAGGGGATCACACCGGCCCGACCGAAGTTTGCGGATGCGGGGGGGGGGGGGGGGGGGGGACAAGCATTAGCGATTTTTGTGACGTGAATATGAGAGGTAGTTTGATCAGATTGTGCACGTGTACTCGTATATAAAAGTAAAGTAAAAGTAAAGCAATCGTAGTAAAATACAGTAAACGACCGGTAGTTGATTTATTGATATGTGGGGTTTAACGTCCCAAAACTGCCATATGATTATGAAGGACGCTGTAGTGGACGACTCCGGAGATTTTGACCGCCTGCGGCACTCTTAAACGTGCACCCAAATCTGAGCACACGGGCCTATGGCATTTTCGCCTCCATCGAAATTACAGCCGCCGCAGCCGGGATTCGATCCCGCGACCTGCCGGTGAGCAGCCGAGTACCTTAGCCACTAGACCACCACGCGGCGGGTGTTAATGACAGGTGGAGTGACCATTTGGACCAACGGCCTCTCGTCGCACCGCTGAGTGGACTAGTCTTCGAAACGCATCATTGCGATGACTAGCACGATCGGGGAAGACATCCTTAATCGTTATTGTCTGTTGAGCGTAGATGGCGTAGTGCTAGTCTTGGCGAAGTGCGTTTCACAAGTGAAAGACAGCTCCGCTTACAACGAGGAGTGAGGTATGCGCAGCATATTTTAAATGCGAAGCATTTCTTAGCGAACTTTGGCGACTTTGAGCGTATCTATCTATCTATCTATCTATCTATCTATCTATCTATCTATCTATCTATCTATCTATCTATCTATCTATCTATCTATCTATCTATCTATCTATCGATCGATCGATCGATCTGTCTAGCCGCCTATGACCTTTAGCTCTCCTGGCCGTTTCGATAATAGTATCGGTACCAAAATTGGTATGGTATCACATGACTTTATTACGACCATATTTGATTAGCCATAACATGAAAATCATGACGTATATGTCATTAATGTCATGATTTACATTTCATGGTCTTGCTGCTCTTGCGGTGGTTTCGTTCACATGACATGTTGCAAATCTGGTATGGTATGACATGACTGAATGACAAGCACCAGCGACAGGCTTTAACATGAAGATCATGATATGCGTGTCATGTAACAACATAATTACATGCCACGCTCATGATGCGCTCGCGGTCATTTTGCTAGCGTCACATATACAAAATTTGGTATTACGGCACGTGAATGGATGACGAAGGTATGTGACTAGTGCAAACATGATAATAATGAGATGCGTGTCGTGTAACAACATGACAACATGCCACGCCCATGATGCGCTGGCGGCCGTTTCGCTAGCTTCACTTATACCAAATTTGGTATTACGGGACGTGAATGCATGACGAAGGTATGAGGCTCGTGCAAAACATGATAAACATGGGATGCCTGTCAGTAACAACATTGACGACATGCACGCCCATGATGCGCTGGTGGCCGTTTCGCTAGCTTCACTTATACCAAATTTGGTATCACGGGACTTGGGAATGCATCACTGTCATTTAACAACATGACAACATGACAACATGCCACGCCCATGATACGCTGGTGGCCGTTTCGCTAGCTTCACTTATACCAAATTTGGTATTACGGGACGTGAATGCATGACGAAGGTATGAGGCTCGTGCAAACATGATAAACATGGGATGCCTGTCATGTAACAACATGACGACATGCCACGCCCATGATGCGCTGGTGGCCGTTTCGCTAGCTTCACTTATACCAAATTTGGTATCACGGGACGTGAATGCATGACGAGGATATGAGACTCATGCAAACATGATAAACATGAGATGCGTGTCATTTAACAACATGACAACATGACAACATGCCACCCACGCCCATGATACGCTGGTGGCCGTTTCGCTAGCTTCACTTATACCAAATTTGGTATTGCGGGACGTGAATGCATGACGAAGGTATGAGGCTCGTGCAAACATGATAAACATGGGATGCCTGTCATGTAACAACATGACGACATGCCACGCCCATAGCTTCACCTTATACCAAATTTGGTCTCTGCGGGAGGTGAATGCATGGACGAAGGTATGTGACTAGTGCAAACATGATAATCCATGAGATGCGTTGTCATGTACAACATGGACTACATGCCCCGGCCCCCCCCCCATGATGCGCTGGCGGCCGTTTCGCTAGCTCACTTATACCAAACTTAGGTATACGGACGTGAATGGCATGACGAGGATATGAGACTCATGCAAACATGATAAACAAGGAGATGCGTGTCATTTAACAACATGACAACATGCCACCCACGCCCATGATACGCTGGCGGCCGTTTCGCTAGCTTCACTTATACCAAACTTGGTATTACGGGACGTGAATGCATGACGAGGATATGAGACTCATGCAAACATGATAAACATGAGATGCGTGTCATTTAACAACATGACAACATGCCACCCACGCCCATGATACGCTGGCGGCCGTTTCGCTAGCTTCACTTATACCAAATTTGGTATTGCGGGATGTGAATGCATGACGAAGGTATGTGACTAGTGCAAACATGATAATCATGAGATGCGTGTCATGTAACAACATGACTACATGCCACGGCCATGATGCGCTGGCGGCCGTTTCGCTAGCTTCACTTATACCAAATTTGGTATTGCGGGATGTGAATGCATGACAAGGTATGTGACTAGTGCAAACATGATAATCATGAGATGCGTGTCATTTAACAACATGACAACATGCCACCCACGCCCATGATACGCTGGCGGCCGTTTCGCTAGCTTCACTTATACCAAATTTGGTATTGCGGGATGTGAATGCATGACGAAGGTATGTGACTAGTGCAAACATGATAATCATGAGATGCGTGTCATGTAACAACATGACTACATGCCACGGCCATGATGCGCTGGCGGCCGTTTCGCTAGCTTCACTTATACCAAATTTGGTATCACGGGACGTGAATGCATGACGAGGATATGAGACTCATGCAAACATGATAAACAAGAGATGCGTGTCATTTAACAACATGACAACATGCCACCCACGCCCATGATACGCTGGCGGCCGTTTCGCTAGCTTCACTTATACCAAATTTGGTATTGCGGGATGTGAATGCATGACGAAGGTATGTGACTAGTGCAAACATGATAATCATGAGATGCGTGTCATTTAACAACATGACAACATGCCACCCACGCCCATGATACGCTGGCGGCCGTTTCGCTAGCTTCACTTATACCAAATTTGGTATTGCGGGATGTGAATGCATGACGAAGGTATGTGACTAGTGCAAACATGATAATCATATGAGATGCGTGTCATGTAAC